CTTTCCAAAAATTCATCTGGAATAAAAAATAAAAATAAAAAACCCCGAATAGCTGCTGCGATCCTGAGAAAGAAGAACAAAGTAGGTGGGATCTCAATACCAGATATCAAGCTGTATTACAAAGCCACTGTTCTCAAAACTGCCTGGTATTGGCACAAGAACAGACATATAGATCAATGGAATAGAATATAGAACCCAGAAATCAACCCAAACCACTATGCTCAATTAATATTTGACAAAGGAGGCAAGAACATACAATGGAGTCAAGACAGTATCTTCAATAAATGGTGTTGGAAAAATTGGACAGATACATGCAAAAAAATGAAACTAGACCACCAACTTACACCATACACAAAAATAAACTCAAAATGGATAAAGGACTTAAACGTAAGATGGGAAACCATAAAAATATTAGAGGAATCCACAGGTAGCAAAATCTCAGATGTATGCCGAAGGAATTTCTTCACTGACACAGCTCCTGGGGCAGGGGTGGGCAACCTTTTTTGTGAGTGCATGTCAAAACCAGCAAAATCTCTGACTCAAAATTCTTCTGCGTGCCAACCCTAATTTTTTGAGAACATGTTACGCCTACTTTATATCTCTTAAGGTGTACGTATGTGAAGAACCTTGAAGACATAATAAAATTCATTCCAGTGACAAAAACACAGTATATGATGATGAAAAATACATTTATTTTTTAATGTATACATATACACTGATAGTCCAACAGAAAACTTTATGACTCCATTTGATATTATCATTGGGACTTTTGCTGCTGCATCACTGATGATAGAGATTTTACATCAGGTTTATATTTCGTGACCTTCAGAGATATGCACGAGCTACTACTTTCATCCGTCAGGCTACTCCTATTACGAGACTTAACAAAATTCATCACTGAGAACAAAGATTCACAAGCGTATGTGGATGAAAACATGGAGAGTAATGCTGTTGCAAAGTTTTTTAAACAGAAAAAATTTTCTGGAATGGCATTCCAAGTCCTCAATAGTTTATTTTCGACACTTCTCTCTGGCACTCCTGTCTCTAATCGCTTTTTTTCAATGTTTTCCAAGTCAACTCTAAGGTCAATAAATTTCTGCTTCCAAATTGAGCTACTCTGAAATTCAATCAACTGCATTTCAAAGTCAGCTATGTCAATGGTCTTTAAGATAACTTGTTATGTAAAATTATTTATTTATCTAAGATGCACCTACACTGAATTTATCTGAAAAATTAAAAAGTTGATATTAAGAAAAAAATTGTAAATGGAAGATTATAAGAGAGGGTTTCACGTGCCAGCAAAAGTTACTGGCGTGCCATGTTTGGCACGCATGCCAGGGGTTGCCGGCCCCTGTCCTAGGGCAATGGAAACTAAAGGGAAAATAAACAAATGGGACTATATCAAAATAAAAAACTTCTGCACAGCAAAAGAAACCATCAACAAAACAACAAGAAAACCCACTGCATGGGAGAACATATTTGCCAATGATATCTCTGATAAAGGTTTAATCTCCAACATTTACAGGGAACTCATACAACTTAACAAAAGGAAGATAAGCAACCCAATCAAAAAATGGGCAATGGACCTAAATAGACACTTTTTGAAAGAGGACATACATAAGGCTGAGAGACATATGAAAACATGCTCAAAGTCACTAATCATCCGAGAGATGCAAATCAAAACGACAATGAGGTACCACCTCACATCTGTCAGAATGGCTATCATCAACAAATCTACAAATGACAAATGGTGGCGAGGATGTGGAGAAAAAGGAACCCTCGTTCACTGCTGGTGGAAATACAAACTGGTGCAGCCACTGTGGAGAACAGTATGGAGTTTCCTCAAAAAACTAAAAATGTAACTTCCATTTGACCCAGTAATCCCACTTCTAGGAATATATCCCAAGAAACCAGAAACACAATCAGAAAGGATATATGCATCCCTATGTTCATAGCAGCACAATTTACAATAGCTAAGATTTGGAATCAGCCTAAGTGCCCAATCAGCAGATGAATGGATTAAAAAAGTTTGGCACATCTACACAATGGAATACTACGCTGCTGTAAAAAGGAAGGAACTCCTACCATTTGCAACAGCATGGATGGAGCTGGAGAGCATTATGCTAAGTGAAATAAGTCAGTCAGAGAAAGATAAATATCACATGTTCTCACTATTTGTGGATTATAATGAACAACATAAACCGATGAGTAAAAACAGATGTAGAGACAGAGGAACATCGATCAGATGCTCAAAACTCAGAGGGAAGGTAGGGGAGGGTGGGGGTGAGGGGGAGAGATCAACCAAAGGACTTGTATGCATGCATATAAGCGATGGATGTGGACAACAGGGGGTGAGGGTGAGGGCAGGATTGGGGGGATAAGAGGACATTGGGGGGGATAAGGACGCATTTGTAGTATCTTAATCAATAACGGGAAAATAAATTTTAAAAAAAGAAACATGATGCAATTTCAGACTAAATTAATAGAAGTGTCTGAACAAAGGGGAAAAAATTGAGAAGTTGAACTAAGTGAAATAAGTCAGACAGAGAAAGATAAATACCATATGATTTCACTCATATTTTTAAAAAACTGAGCTCCCAAATACAGAGAACAGATTGGCAGTTGCCAGAGGTGAGGGGATGGATGAAATAGAAGGTGGTCAAAAGGTAAAAAATTTCAGGCATAAAATAAATAAGTCATGAGGATATAATTTACAGCATGGTGACTATAGTTAATAATACTGTATTGTATATTTGAAAGTTGCTAAGAGAATAGATCTTAAAATGTCATAAGAAAAAATATTTTTAACTATATGTAGTGATGGATGTTAACTAGACTTACTGGGCTATTCATTTTTAAATATATAAATAGTGCAGTATTATATTGTACACCAGAACTAATATAATGCTAAATGTAAACTATATATCAATTAAAAAACAGAAGCTGACATATCATGCCATATAGTATTAAAAAATGTACAAAATAATTCATTTGCCAATCTTGTCCATGCAATAAGTAACTGTATTGCATGAAAAACAGCTATGAAAAACATATTCTTTAAATATTGACAGACAAAAAAAGTAGAGAAAAATATAGGTATAGATATGTAATCCCAGAATACTTAAGAATAATCAGAAATAAAGGTTTTCATTGCTCCCAGGATAAAAGAGAAATGTGTCTAAGAGTGGCCTCAAAGATAACCAAATCAGTTTAATTTAACATGTATTCTAAACATACCTACATGAGCTAACATTTTTATACACTTTGCATTTCTTAGATTTGCAACATTTAAAAAAATATATATTTTATTGATTTTTTTACAGAGAGGAAGGAAGAGGGATAGAGAGTTAGAAACATCGATGAGAGAGAAACATCGATCAGCTGCCTCCTGCACACCTCCCACTGGGGATGTGCCCGCAACCAAGGTACATGCCCTTGACCGGAATCGAACCTGGGGCCCTTCAGCCTGCAGGCCAACGCTCTATCCACTGAGCCAAATGGGTTAGGGCTGCAACATTTTTATTAAACTCATTTTAAAGACAGTTCTTAAAGGTTATGATTTTTAAAGATCAGATAATCATGAGCTAGCTCTCTTTTTGTAGGATAAAATGTGCTTCAATCTTCCTTAGTTTAAATATTATCATTCTTTATACTTTTCAGAAGTAAATACCTTTTGGCCAGATATTATATGTATTTAGGGGGAGGAGAATTTCAGGAATATTTTCCAAAGGACCAAGCAGCATATCTTGCAAACATATCTTTTAACTAGTGATGACATGAAGAACATGAAAGATTGAACAACAAAGTCTTGATTATCAGGAATATTATAATCCAATACTATCTGAGCTCCCCCTTTCTTTGGTTCAAATTGTACCTTTGGAATTTCCTTCCATCATATAAATGATAATGTTAACATTTATAATACTTTCAATGTAGAGGATACTAAAAGTTCAAAAAAAATCTAACCTCCAGCCTACTTCAACAACTTCTTTATAATTTTTAGCTGTATCCTAGGTGGAGTGTGTATAATCACTCAAGAATTAAAAACAAAAACATAAAAAGAAAAAAACAACAGCAACTAAAACTATCTTTCTGGATAAGAAATAAAATTCCAGAGTAAACACAATCCTGCCAAAGAAACATAAAAAGATTTATACCTACAGATGGAACAAAAAGTGCATAGATTATCCAGAAAAAGCATACGTATTTCTTTTTCTGACTACTCAGTAATGCTTAATGTAAAATCTAAAAGATTAATAAACTGAGATAAAGAGAAGTTAATATGTTCTGTCAGCTGACAGTTCATCATCAAATGTTGACAGAATTTTAAAAATCCGAGGAGTTTTCTGCTGTGATCACTTTAAATATAATGTCTTTATGTACAAATTATAACAAGTAAAAAGTTTTAGAGTGATTACACACTATGCCCGGCCCTGCTTTAAGTGCTTTAAAGGATTAATAATCTTCTCAAGAACTCTAAGAAATAGGTCCTCAACTGAGCCTCATTCCACAGATGAGGAGTCTAAATCACAGAGAGGTCTAGTCATTGCCCAAGGACTCTGAGTTTGGACCGATTGCTATGATTCAAACATAGGCAGTCTACCCCACAGAACCCTACTGTTAGAATTAAAATGCAGTCACAAAATAAGATATTTGGCTAACTTATATTTTAGATAATTCTGACATATTAAGCTCCCCCTTTCTTTGGTTCAAATTGTACCAATGATAAATAATAATAATAAAAACTTCTCCCCCATAAAAAATTAACTAACCTAAGACACTTAAAAAAAAATCTTACATTTTACAATATTAAGCCAGGGGGGGAAATACCTAAAATTTCTCAAAGATCAGATATTAAATATTTCGAATGAGTGGTTAAGTACTGCCATCTCCATCACTTTCATTTTAAAAGCCATCTCTCCCAAAAGAGCACAAAACCTAGTGATGTCATCACCAAAAATCCCATTCATTCCAATGAAAACAAACTCCTTCACATTCACCTTTTTTTTGAGTTCGGAACATGTCCAATTGTTTCTGTTGCTGCCGCCTTAACGTGTTAACAATAGCTATTGCCAGTCTCAATGCTTCTCTGGGGTACCCATGAGAACGTAATGCGTCCACTCTTGCACAGGCTGTAGGGACATGTTCTAAAAACAGAAAGTTAAGGGGCGAGAGAAAGTTGCCACTGTCAGATATATCCATAAAAACAGGATTTAATAGTAAGATGTTTTCCCCCAAAAATACTATTAAAAAAACACAACAAACCATTTCTGAACTTTGATTTGAATGAAAAACTCAGCTCCTATTGCCAAGCATTCATCCATCTCCCATTGAATCCCTCAGCTCTCCTCCTCCCACTCCAATAATGCTATAGAAACTAAACAAAGAAGTAAGTCATGGAAATGTCTTTCCGGTTTGGGCACTTACCATGCCAGAGGGGCCACCCACGGGAGTCAAAGAGGGAGTTTTCAGTGTCGTCATGGTAACAGTAGTTGGTGTATAGGTCACTGCTGATAATGTGCTGCAAGTGGCTATCCTGCCAGTGGAGATCGCATGCCTCGATGGCTCGGGTGAACACTGTCCGATGTGGCCTGTTCGATGAATCTGTTTTTTTCACAATTCAGAAAGCCGTGTCAGCTATTATTCACATGTGAATAAATCAGTCATACCACTCTGTGGCCAGATGTTCATGAGCAAACCCACACGCATTGTCCTCACCCCTTACGCAGAAGGATGGAGGGTGAATATTCTCATGTCCTAAGTACTAGGAGGCAAGTCAGCCCAAAGAGCCACCATTCACTCACTTGTTTTATCCAACACAAACACTCTGCAGCCATCAAGCTAAGATTAAAGGCATCCTGCAAAAAGAACTGTCAAGTCTAGTTTCCATGCCAAATACACTCAAAGGAGGCACTCGGCACAAAAACTACATGAAAACTCACTGCTCCCCACTTCGGAGGTGCTGTGGTGGGCTGCCCTGATGGGATCAACAGCTCTCACAAGCACTATGCAAGAGATGTGACACCAGCCATGGAACCTTTCAGGAAGATGCAATCAGCCTTTAAAGATATGCAGAAGGGTTGTGCTTTTGGTTGTATTTTTTAACTATATTGTGCGGTTTTGCACAATTAAAACTATTATGCTTCTTGGGATATAATGGTTAAATGCCACTTTATATCCCAAAGGGCATAAATGCATATATTTAACAGTTCACAAAGCCACACAACATAGCTACAAAACAAACCAGCGCACTTACCTTGCCCCTACAGGCTGCCTCCTGACTCCTGTGCAGGTTCCATGACTGGTGTGATGTCCCCAGCATAGTGTATGCCGGGCATCACAAAAGAGCAGAAGCATACACTCCGAAGAGGGTTCAAGTTTCAGGACCTGACGGAGAAAAGAAATGTTTGGGGAATAAAGGATATTCTCATCCCCACTTCTGGGAATATTCAGTTCCTCTGGATAACATGGTCCAAATTCTACGTGCATTCCCACCCTTTGTGTCCCCACTCCAGACTTACCTTCAACTATGGCACAAAACTTAGTGAGCCTCAACTGAAAATCAGGGGAACAAACTATTTTTATTTATGTGTACTTTACTTAGCTCAAATATCAAAATATCACCCTCACTGTTCTGAGGCTTAATTAAATGAGAAGCAAAATCTGGAGCTTCCTTAGCTGATAATGTTTCATCTTCCTGTCACTGGAGATCTGACTAAGCACAGACATTAGGAAGTCATAAAAATAAAAAATAAAATCAAGAAGAGCCCTGAGAACTCATCAAGTCCAACCTCTCTATTCTGCTGATTAAACTGAAAATAGAGAGAAGTAAAGTGACTTGCCAAGGTCACACAGCGAGGCAATGGCAATCAAGATCAAAACACAGATATCCTCAGTCCAAATTCACCTATTTCAGCTGGAAGGTTTCTGAAGGTCTTTAACAGAAAGACATTACTTTAGTTTGATCTCGGGTCAACTTAGATATCTATATATCTAAGCATAGCAGACATATCAAAATGCATCAATGACATAATTTGAGAGGAATAGATACTGATGTATGTGTTATGGCCCCTGCCTAGACTCCTTGCTAGCAGTAGTTTCAATTATACATCTTACAAATGGGAAGAGTGCACCTTACATTAAAAGGCCTTTTGAACCTATCAGGGCCTTTCCTGAGCAGAATAAATATACTCCTACCCAATAAAGAACTGGCTCCATCACCTCTCATAGCCAACTGATCAAATATTCCAAAGTGCAAAGCTCACACATGTTTAAGTGGCTTTGTCATTTCATTTACTTTGTTTAGCTCAAATCAAAGAAATAGAATTTAAAACTAAAAGGAGATTTTTAAAAGAGCAACTTAATGTTATGCATGTATTAAAAGAATGAGAAATTCTACCTGGTGATTTGCTTCACTGTGGTATCAATAATAGCATTCCATTAGAAAAAAAATAAAGACCTTAACTTTTCACATGATTGTATTGATTGTCTGAGCATAGAGAAAGGTATAGGGCACACTAGGCTTTTAACAGTTGTTAGCTCTAAGAGAACAATAAAACCAACTGTAACAAAAAAAAGGCTAAATACTAATAAAATATTTAAATGAAAATGTAAGACAGAAAGTTCTATAATAATATGGGACACAGAAAAAACTGATTATGTATGTAGACAATGACAAAAAAACACACCCCAAAATGTTGGCTTGATTAGGTGGCAAAATTATGGTCAATTTTTATCTTAGATGTCTTTAGTTTTCTGATTTTTGCAATTAAGATAAAAAAAAGAGAAACAGATTATATTAACCCAATTTTTAATAAAATGTATTAATAATAATGCATACTTATTGAAGAAAACTTGAGAAATTCAGAAAGGTAAAATGGGAGAAATTAGTTATTTTATCAAAAAATATAAAAATAAAAAATTGGCTACCATTGTCGTACATTTTAAAAAGTCAAACAAACTACTCTTTCAAAGGGTGTGGATTCTAATACTGTTATTGCTGCTGTTAATTAATTCTAACAATCAATCTCTGCTAGCAAAGTCAGGGCCTGATTTGCCCTTCACATTCACTTCAATATGCCAACACATGCAGTTCTGCCCACTGTCTGTACACTCCACACCCAGCTGCAATGGCACTGCTGGCCACTGCGGGCTCTCCCCAGCAGCCTGTTCAGCTCTCTCCTGACAGCCCCTCTGGAGGATGTGAGCATTATGCTAAAAACAGGAGCCCTGGTGCCTTTAGGCACAACAGCTATAAATATTGCCCTCAGAAACTAGGTCCTGACTTCATACCCCTAGGCCAAACCATAAATAAAATGAACTGTTTTATCTGGAGGCTGGACCACTGTTTAAGGGTGTTCTGAAGCCAATGGAATATTCCTGTTTAACCAAGGAGAAAGTAACCAAATGGAAAGTAAGTGTAAAATGTTAGGATGGTGCTCCCCAAAAGCAGGTAAGGAGTGAAACAGAGAAACTTCCAAATATAAAGAAATAAAAGATTAAAGATATTGCCTATATAGATGTAGGCATATCCTTTCCTAGCAATGCAAGAGAAAAGATGTTGAATTGCTAAACTTGAAAATTCTGAGCTTCTGGAAAATAATTTGGGTATAAGGGGTACATGTATTTTCTTCAAAGTTATTAAATAAAATCATGAGCAATAAAGATATGACAGATTTCAAATACTGAATTCCCAAGGCAAATACCTCTAGACAAAGCAGAGCCAGCCAATCATCTTGCCCAAGTCCTAAAACTTCCATCCTTTTCATTGGACAAGTCCCTGTGGAGTAATACATGTAATTCTTTCTTTATAGAGACTGAGAACACTATGCTAACCCACATTTGCACTCAGCACATTGTCATCTCTTTCCAGGAGTACCAACTGTATATGGGGCCAGCACACATAGAATGACAGTCTTGATTCTGGATAGTTCTGATATCATGTAACTCTCATCTTGCATTTTTCATAACTTTAGAGTCTTTCAAGTTTTCTTAAAAACAAAATAGAAAAAGGCAGCAACAGCACAAAATCACACAAAAATAGTGACATGAATTAATGAATGAAAGTTTTATTTGTAAGCGTTAACTACTTTTAAGATTTGGTTCTGAAAGAGAGGAGAAAATGCTATAGTAGCTGAGAAAAAATAGTTAAGCAGAGGAAAGATTAAAAAAAAAAGATGAGAGGGACTTGAGCTAAATGGGTCGATCCAATAGAGGAGCTCAAAAAACAAACAAACAAAACGGGATGGAAATGTAAGACAGAGGTTCTTCAGAGGACATTTGGAAATGTCTGTGTGCATTTGTTAGTTGTCCCAAAGTAGGGGGCACTATTAGCCTGCAGAAGGTAGAAATAAGTATGCTAGACAATCCTTCACAATGAAGAATTTTCCTAGTCCAAATGCCAACAGCACCCCATGCCCTTCCAACCATCATAAAATTCTTGCTATATTCTAAAACTAAGAATTTTTAACTGACTACGGAGTAGCCCAAATATGAATTGACCAAAAGAGACAAAAACACACAGCTGCTAAAACCTTTCAATATTACCAATCTATACCATGATTTATTAAATTAAAAATATTCAAATTAAATAGTTAATAAGCAAGTTTATATACCATATAATCTCTATATACAAAAGCCTAAGTGACCGTTACGACTGGTCAACTGAACAACCGGTTGACCAGTCGCTATGACACGCACTGACCACCAGGGCTCAATGCAGGAGCTGCCCCCTGGTGGTTAGTGCACTCCCACAGCCAACCTCCCACGGTCCCTCCCCCCAGACTGGGTGAGACGGCCCTGATCGGCCCCATTGCCAGCCAGGCTGAGGGACCCCACCTCTAGTTTTATATAATTGTAAATAACCCATACTAATACATATAAGTATTACATCCTTCTGTATTCTGAGAATATGAAGAAAAGCACACAATGGTCTCAGGTAAAAATTAAAACATATATTCATAGTCAAAACACATTAAATTCCTTGAGTTATAATAAGTTCTTAAGTGGGGAAATTATTTTCCCATATTCATTGTAAGTTACTGTCATAAATGTATGTGCACAATTAGATATGAAGAAAGCAGAATATTACTGTGGACTAACCTTGGTTGACATTTGCACCCTGAGGCAGAGCGTTGGTTAAGTTGGGTAATTCACTGCCATGATTTCCATCTTCCCATGGACAGACATCAACACTGTTCCACTTTTTCAGCTGTTTTAGCCAACTGGCCTTCTGTTCCAACTTGCAGTGGGGATTTAAAACTATACACATCCACAGAGCACCTAATTTAAAAGGAGAGAGGGCAGTAAATTAAAAAAAATTATAAAAATGTTCAATTCTAATACCTAATGATAAATTTTAAACCATTTCAAAATGGATTCAAATCTGTCATTTTTATAACACAATTCTCTCTTTAATCCAAGCCACAAACCCCATGCAGAGTTAATGGAAGGAGGACAACTGAATTTGAACCAAAGATTCAAACACTGTTACAAATAAAGAAGAAAGATATTTCAAATGTTTATTGTTAAATACTTTTCTACTTATGTAACATTTTGGACAAAAAGTCAATAAAAGGTACAACCCTAAGGTCCAGTTTGCCACTTCAATTTAACAACAGATTTTATACATGGATTCTGCAAAAAGCCACTCTAAATAAAGAACACAATGAACACAAATAAACAACTTCCTAGTTTCCTTATAAGAGTGTCAAGCTTTATTGTATTTATTAATTAGTATGCCTATCTATTATATCAATGATGTCTTAAAAATAAAATTCACTTAAATATACTTCCCTAAATGATTTAACCAGGAATTAATCTTTATATAAATGAACTCATTAAATGTATGTCTTTATGTGAATGAAATCACTAAACATTAATCAAAATTACACTTGTTATTTAAGGTAAAAGCCAAAGTGAATTTAGAAGACATAACTTATAATTTGAATTAAGGTTTTGATTTATTACTTTCTAGATTCTTCAGAAAAGAGGTAGCTAATTCAAGCAAATAGTTTACAAGTTTTAAAAGTTCAAGTTTTTCTTTATTAATTTCAAAACAAGATAGATACCAATACTTCAAAGCCATTCACAACACTTTTGCTTTGAAAAGGCACATGTCTGTGTGTATTTTATTTTAATCAGTTGTGTTAAATGAATAATAAAGATAGAAATGATCATTATGTTTTGTTTGTCCAAAAGAGATGCTTTACGTTCTTCCACATTTAATATTAGCAAGCTTCTTCACTTAGAAATTTTGGTATTTTAAATACCGAATAAACTTTTACCACAAGAAAATAAAAGTGGCCATAATCTATCTAAGCCACAGATATTTACAATTAACATTTCCATATTTTTAAATGCCAATTGAAAAACAAAATGTGGTCGAACTAGATAAGCCCACCACAGCTTATCTCTCCCCATGATTATAACCAAAAAATCTGAACAAAATACAAAAAGCAGCAATCTAGGGACTCTGAAAAGTAAAGGCTAAATACTAATAAAATAATATTACAAGCAGATTATGGAAACAAAACATGAAGAAGCAAGCCATATGGGGATGATTTCCTGTTTTCTTTTCCCTCTCTTTTCTTCTGGCTTGGACACAAGATTAGACCCATTAGAGGAACTTTATAGATGGCATGTTCAGCAAAAACTTGAGAGAAATCTCATCTACCTGGTGAAAGGACTGGAAAAGGGGACCTTGCCCTCCACTCGGGAGCAGGAGCAAGGGGATCCTGGATACTGTGTGCAAAGAGGTACAAGTTCTGGTAACATCTCATGTGCATGAAACAGACCCCAGGAAGCACAGCCAAGGCCTTAAAGACTTTATTGACATTGTCACCTGAAGAAGGTGAAACAGGCCTTATATTCTGAATCTACTCTGGTTGATTTGTATGCTTTAAAAAAATAAATTATCCAGAGGATTTTAATAGGACCCAGACTCTCACAACACAATATTCGAAATGTCCAGGATCCAAAATTACTTGGCTTACAAAGAAACAGTAAAATGTGATCAATTCTCAAGGGAAAAACAATCAACAGATGCCAACCAAGATGAACCAGATGTTAGAATTATCAGTCAGAGACTTTATAACTGTGCTCTATGAGATGAAGGTAACCACTATTGAAAGAAGTGAAATACAAACTATTAAAAATGGACTAAATAGAAATTTTAGAACTGAAAAAAAACTCACACCAATATCCGAAATAAAAAATTCACTGGATGGAATCAAGAGCCAATTAGACAGAAGGAAAAGTCAGTGAACTTCAAGATATAAATGATCTCATCTGAAGAACAGAGAGAGAAAAAAACACAACAACAACAAAAACACAGAAAATAACAGAGCCTTAAAGGCAGGTGGGAAAACAGTGTGTCACTGGACTCCCAGAAGAGACAAAAATTTGGGAAAAATAATGACTCAAAACTTTCCAAATTTGGAGAAAGATTAGAGATCTAATAAGCTCAGCTAACCACAAAAAAGGTAAACTCAAGGAAAACCATGACCAAACATCATAATCAAATCACTAAAAACCAAAGTTAAAAAAATCTTGAAAGCAGAGAAAAATGAAATACCATATATAGAGGAATGACTCAAATAATTAGAGCTTCCTCATCAGAAATCATAAAAGGCAAAAGACAGCGAAACATTATATTTAAATTGTTAAAAAAAACAACACAACTGTCAACCTAGAATTCTATATCCAGAAAAAATAGCCTTCAGAAATGCTAAAATAAAGGCATTCTCTGATTAAAGAAAACTAACAGCATTCATTGCCAAGAGACCTGGTCTAGAAGAAATGCTAATGGCAGTTTCTTCAAGGTTGAACAGAAATAATACCAGAGGGAAAGTTGGAATTATAGGAATAGAGGAAGAGTTATAAAAATAATAAATACCTAAGTAAGTGCAACAGACTATTTTTGTCCTTTTAAATTCTTTAAAATAATTATGACTATTGAAAATAAAAATCTGAGCATTGCCTTATGGAATTTTAAATGTACGTAGATGCCCTAACCGGTTTGGCTCAGTGGATAGAGCGTCGGCCTACGGACTGAAGGGTCCCAGGTTCGATTCCAGTCAAGGGCATGTACCTTGGTTGCGGGCACATCCCCAGTAGGGGGTGTGCGGGTGTGCAGGAGGCAGCTGATTGATGTTTCTAACTCTCTATCCCTCTCTCTTCCTCTCTGTAAAAAAATCAATAAAATATATTAATAAATAAATAAATATACGTAGATGAAATACACATGAAAACTATAACATAAAGGAACCTATATAGTTGTTAAAGATACATTCTATTAAAGTGGCAAAATATTAACACAAAGTATATATGTTTGTTGTAATACTGAAAACATTAAAAAATACAAGGAGATACAAACAAAAAGGACAATAAATTACCATACTGAGAAAATTAAGTAATTCAAAGAAGGAGAAAAGAAGGCAGGAGAGAGAGAACAGAGGAATAAAAACAGAGAAGACAAACAGAAAACAAATGATTAGATGGTAGATCTAAAAATCTCAACCACATCAATAATTATATTAAACTAGAGGCCCGGTGCACAAAAATTGTGCACTCGGGGGGGGGGGGGGAGGGGGTTCCCCCAGCCCGGCCTGTGCCCTCTCGCAGTCTGGGACCCCTCGGGAGATAATGACCTGCTGGCTTAGGCCTGCTCCCGGGTGGCAGAGGGCATGCCCAATCCCTAGGTGCAGCCCCTGGTCAGGCTCAGAGCAGGGCCGATTGGGGAGTTGGGGCGCCACCCCCTGTCATGCACAGAGCAGGGCGGATCGGGAGGTTGCGATGCCACCCTCAGTCACGTTCAGGGTAGGGCCAATTGGGGGGTTGGGGCACCGCCCCCATCATACTCAAGGCAGGGTCGATGGGGAGGTTGCGGCGCCACCCCCTGTCACGCACAGAGCAGGGCCCATCAGGGGGTTGGGGCGCTGCCCCCTGTCACTCACAGAGCAGGGCCCATCAGGGGGGTTGGGGCTCCGTACCCTGTCACACACAGAGCAGGGTCGATCAGGGGGTTGGGGAGCTCCCCCCTGTCACGCACAGAGCAGGGCCCATCGGGGGGTTGAGGAGCTCCCCCCTGTCATGCACAGGGCAGGGCCGATCAGGGGGTTGAGGAGCTCCCCCCTGTCACTCACAGAGTAGGGCCGATAGGGTAGTTGGGGCACCGCCCCCTGTCACACACAGAGCAGGGCGGATCAGGGGGTTGGGGCGCTGCACCCTGTCACACTCAGGGCAGGGCCGATCAGGGGGTTAGGGCGCCGCACCCTGTCAAACACAGAGCCGCAGGGCGATCAGGGGATTGGGGAGCTACCCCCCTGTCACACACAGAGCCGCAGGGCAATCAGGGGGT